TTGACTCACACAGCAAAGATGGTTTAGTCTGGTAAAGCCAGTACGTAGCAGAACAGTTAGCACAGAAGTCACTCAGCGCCTGGGGATGAGACCAGTATTCTGTTTGCCTCCTTTCTTATCTCAGGCTGCCCTCAAGATTTCAGGCCCCCATGCCCAAGCAGAAACAAAAGCCACTTCCTATAGTCAAAGGATCTGGGGAAGGGATGAGGGTGTCCCCTCTCCAAACAGACCCAACTGTCCACAGTACCATATCAGACTAGGCTCCTTATCAGACTAGGCTGTGACCCACAGACCTTGCAGCCTTCCTGTCCCAACCACAAAACGGTACACTGAGGCCTAGCCAGGCTGTAAGGGGTCCTGGGTACTTCCTGTGAGAGGTACTGACCTCTGAGAGGTCAACAGTAGAGGTACTGCCAGGAACAACAGGAAGAGCCTTGAGGAGGAAGCAGAGGTATGGGGTTGGCCAGCCAGCCTTTAGTCACCTGGCATTCCAGGACTCTGAAGCTTACCTGGGCACAGCTGACCTGGATACCACACCCAGAGCCCTAGTGGGGATTTCCCCACAGTGCAGCCGTGCAGCAGCTAGGATAGGGCCACCCAAGGGGGTGACCATCTCTATTCAGAGTGGCAGTCATGGAGCCACAAGAGCCTGTAGTGTGACTTGATACCCTGGGCCTCAGTTTCCTCATATGTCTAACCTAAACAGACTCAACTAGACAGGGAAACAAAGAGCTAGAAGAAGAGTGGGCCCTGACACCACAGCTCAGGACCCAGCCCAGAGGCTCAAGGGAAACCCCACGCCTGCCAGGCCTGTGTTCCTGGCAGGTTCCCTGCGCTCATCATTCCTTCTGGGCTTGTGTTAGTGAGTGGTTGCCATGGATACTGGTCTCAGCTTCTTTGGCAGAAAAGGACTCCCCCAGGGCAAGGCTCTGTCTCTCCTCACCAGCCCCCACAATGATGCCCAGCCCAACTCCAGGTGCCACAGGCTGGATCAGAGGGAGAGGAAATAGGTCTTGGGAAGGGCACAGGTGCTCTGAAGAAGTTGGGGAAGGATATTGGTTATCAAATAGTCACTCATCAACCACAATTAGAGTCCAGACCAGCTCTCTCTGGCTTCTTGCTTCCAAGAGCCAAGTATGACCACCCTTGGAAAGTGAGAGCCCAGCGGGAGAGGCTACTCTAGTTCCAGGAAGCAGAGCCAGAAAGGGAACTTTGCCCCTGCCCTGGAAGCCACAGGTGCCTTTGTCCTTTTCTCCATCTGTACAAGAAGGTAGTGGGAAGGTAGTCAACCAGGTTGCTGGGCTAATTCAGTGTTACCCAAGTGAAGCAGTACTTTAGGAGCAGAGAATGGGGACCCAGTCCTCCTTCCCAAGTTTGAGGCTGGCTGCCCTAAGGGGGTTCCCATGAGGAGAGCCCATAATTACCTGGATCACGGGGTGGCGCTGGGAATGCTAACATAGAGGCACAAGCCACTACAGTTCCCAGGACAGAGACCAGCCCTGGTACAGAAGGGAGGGGCTCTCACAAAAGTATCCTGAAGGACAGCTCAAAAAGAACTGTCATATACAGAGAGAATGAGGAAGGTCATGCTGGTTAGGGACACAGCTTGGGCCTCTGCATGAAAGAGCAGACAGCTGACAGTTTGTGAAGGCCTCCCAGGTATCTGGCCTCCACCCAGGTGCTGCGGGTACATTCTCATTCATTCCATACCACTAAGGTGGAGGGAGAACTCGGCCCACAAAAGGCCCAGGTGATGGCTTCAAGGCCACACAACTGGCAAACTGGTAAACTGATGCAGCTGGATGCCAACTCTGGTGGCAAAGACTCTAACCCTGCACTGTATCCTCCTGTGACCCAGCTACTGTGAGTCTGACCCAGGCTGTGATAGTAAATCCAAATCATCCAATTATTTGGAAGACAGTATGAAAAGAGATGTAAAATATCCCAGAATAACAACAAATCCGTTGGACATGTCCTGTTAAATAAAATTTATTATTTAGAGCGGGGGAGGTAGCTTGGTCTACTAAAGTGCTTGACACAGGAAGGCCTGAGTTTGAACCTTATAACTCATGGGGTGGGGTAGGGGAGGGTCTAGCCTCACACCACTGAGATGATTGGAGAATAAGGGGTTTTGCTATGAAGACTAATGATTTCAGTCCAATTCTCAGAACTCACGGTGGAAGGAGAAAACCAATTCCTGTTAGTTGTCCTCTGACCTCCACACCCACCCGCATGTAAACTAAAGGAAATAGTTTTTAAAACACCAGGCTCAACAGCATGCTACTGTGCTCATGTGTGCTTGTAATCGGCACTGGGGAGAAGAGAGAGGTGTCTCCAGAGCACTCACTAGCCAGCCAGTCTAGTCGGCAAGCTCCAGGCCAACGAGAGACCCTGACTCGAAAACCAGAGTTGGGACCGCTGCTGAGAAACCACACCTGAGGCTGATTTCTGGCCTCCATACCCACCCACCCACATACATAACCATCCACATACATACATATATGTACCTACAAGAACTTGTGCCCACAGGTGCACACATACAAATAAAATATATTAATTGCACCTGCTCTCTTTCTGCCTGAAAACCAGACATCTTGGCATTCCTATGTAGCTTGCATTGTGCTCCTCTGGACAGAACTGGCTCTGTTATGAGCAAACAGAACTGTACAGGAGGGATATAAAGAAAAGCAGAAACTCCCCATGCTTTGATGAGGTTGCTGGGGCCAGACTGTGAGGTTCTTAGGGGTCAGATGGCTACAAGCATCAAAAGTGCCCACACAGCAGAGTGTCTATATGCCTGCCTCTGTCCCAGCAGGGCCAGCAGGCAACAGGTGGACTCAGGTCCTGGCACAAAACCCTGAGAGCCATAGGAGTCACCATAGAGCTTGTAAATATTCCTAAAAACTGAACTCAGGGGCAGGGGGAGGGAAGGCCATCATAAAGAAAGGGAGGCAGGCTTATCCGGAGAGGAAATGATGCCTGTTGTGTTGGGGATGGGGTGGGGGTAGTGCACAAGCTTACACCCTGGGCAGGACAGTGAGAGAGATACACAGCTCAGGCGGTATATGTCCAGAGTCTTCCAGGCCTCCCTCCCCACGCTGCACTGCCCCCCAATCAGTTCACCAGAAATCTGCTATCTCATTCGTTCTCCCGGTCTGACCCAAGTATTGGCAAAGGTAGATAAGGCCCCACCTCCCCTCTCTGCCCCTGGCCACAGGTCCTCTAGGAGCCTCAGAAGTAGTGACCTGGGGCCACAATAAAACAAGCATGGCAGAACTAAAAGCCACACAATACTTCCCACCTAAGACAGAGAAGAGACTCAGGCCAGGCTGGGGAGGAGGGGGGGGGGAAGGGAGGTCTAACACTTGCTTTGCTGATCACCCTGCTGGGCAACCTTGGATAGGGCTAACCAAGGGCCTGACTTCCCCCAGCTGGAAAGAGCCTGGTTTGCAAAGCGAGGGCCCCCAATGTTCTCTGGCTTGTCCTCACAGGGTGCGCACCTAAGATCCTGAACCCTGGGAAGCACATTACATGCGTGGTAGGTTGGCACACTTGAGGGTACACCACGCTCTTGCTCACCAGAGCAAGGGAACAGTGTCTTGGGACAGCCTGACCCAAAAATTGATGCCACTGGCACCTAGTTCAAGTTCACCCCCAGGAAGGCACAGAGAGCAGATGAGTGGGTGTACATGCAAAATGAGGGAGGGGCAGTTTCTGCTCTCCTGTTAGAGGTCTTTCCTTCCACTTGACACAAAACTATTCAAGACAGAAAAAAAAACTGAGGCCCAAAAAGAGCGCCCAAGTACCCAGGTGGCATGTGGTTGTGTGGTTTATGTCAAGGCTCTCTTTTCCCAACCATCCCTGAGTTTTCTTTAGTGTCGCACAAAATATCCAAATCATCTCTCTTCCTCTTTCCTCTCCCCTCTTTCTCATTAGGTTGTAGGCTAGAATGTTGGGTCCCCCCTCCCAACTGCTCTCCTCCACAGGGAGCCCGGGGGACCAACCTAGCCAGATTCTTTTCTTTTCAAGGCTGCATTATTCTCAAGCAGGGCCAGCTCTAGGACAAGTCCCTTGACCCCTGTGAAGACAGGGAGAGACGCCAGCAGAATACAATCCCAGAGCCACATCCACCCTAAGAGGCCCAGGGATCAATCAATTCACAAACGGAAACAGACCTAAACACAAGCTGAAACTGGCCCAAGGTCACACACACATCAAGCACACTCAGGATAGAAACCCAGTTGTATCCATTTCAGTCTCAGACCTGGGGTTGATTCGCAGAGATGCGCAAGGAGCATGAGGCTGCCTCTCTTTAGACCCCCCTCCCCGCCCCCAGGCCTGCTCCAGGCTCCAAGCGCCATGGAGCAGAAGGAGGCGTCTCCAGGCCTCAAGCCAGGGCCAGCTGCAAACCGCATCGTGGGTCCCCTGGCGGCGCGGACCCGCCCCGCCCCTCCCTCGGCTCCCCGCAGGCCTGAGCCTTTGTCAGCCACGCGCTTACAAGCTCACACACACAAATCCTCGCCGCCACGCGCGCACACACTCGGGCCGCCTGGCGCACACCCGCAAGGGGCGCACACACTGGCCGCACGCATGCAGGGGGGTGGCTGAGCCTGAGGAAAGAAGGAACCGACGCACGCACAGACGGTCTGGACTAGGGGAAAAGGAGAGGCCGGGGGAACCTGCGGCTGTGGAGGAAGGGGGCGCACAGGCGAGAAAGCAAGAGGGACGCAGAGGAGACTTCGGGAGGACAACGGATGAGCCGTCAAGGGCTGGCGAGGGCTCACTGGCTGTTCCACGGGTGGAAACTCCTACCAACCCCTGACACGGGGAGCGTGGGGTGCTTTGGATTGGACCCATGGAACACGAGAGCATCGCTTGAACAGAGGGTCCTTAGGGACTCTCCAGAGGGCTTGGATCTAGGGGGCTGGCAACCAAAAGCTCCTTAGGGCATCTGGGATGGAAGGGCCCTGGTCCTCGGGCTGAATGGGGCATTTGCTCACCTGCCACAGTGTACCTGTCCAGGTAGTTGAGCACGTTGCCCAAGCTCAGGATGGCAGCGGCTGCCCCCCGCCCTCGGCCCAAGCTGGCGGGTTTGGGCTGCGGCGCGCCTGGGCCCTTGGCAGCGGCTGCGCAGCCAGGAGTGCTGGGGATGCTGGGGAGTCCGGACGGGACCCGCCTCACGCTGCCGGACAACGTCTGCACCTCCTCGTCTGCGGACACGACTCCAGCGCCCCCAACACCCCGCGCCCCGCAGCAAGCGCTACCTCCAGCCCCTGGCTGCGCCCCCCGGCGCCGGCGCCGCCGCTCGGCGTCCGCCTCCTCCTCCTCCGCGCCGCCCGCCGCCGCCGAGGCGCATTCCAGGCACATCATGCCGGCCGGGGCCGGGGCGGCGGGGGGCGCGGGGGGCGCGGGGGACGCGAGGCCCAGCCCGGGCCCGCTCAGTGCGTGCGCGCGCCGCGGAGCAGCCGCTGCACCATCCCGGCCCGGCCCGTCGGCTTCTGCGCTCGGGCTCCAGCCCTGGCTGCGCCGCTGCTACTGTTCAGTCAGTGAGACGCGCGGCCCCGGCGGCTCTGACAGCTGCGGCCGGCCCCGCCCACCAGGCTCGTGTCCAATCACCTCCGGGCTCAAGCCACAGCCCCGCCCCGCACGTGCTGCCCCGGAGGGTGCGGGGAGCCTGGCCGCAGAGCCCCACCCGCCTGATGGGGGCGCAAGTCACGCAGGAGCCCTGCGTCCACGGAACCCTCGGGGATCAGGAAGAGATTGCGGGGTAACTGCAGCATTGATTAGGATTTAGGTGAGGGAAGAAAGATGCCCCAGACCCTACTCAACTTCCACCCTGCCCCTGCGGTGGGAGAGGGCTGAGGCCGAGGGGGACCCGCGGCTTAAACTACGCATTTAAAAATGTCTCAGATGGTCAAAACAGGGGAACCTGTTGGAGAGCTGGTGACTCCAACAGTTACCTTGATTCAATCCATTTAGGCAGCGCTGCCTAAGAATCATGATTGATGGACCCAGGACACAGACCTCATGAAGGTACATTGTTCTCTCTAGAGAAGCAGCTCCAGGCCGCGACCTACCCTGGGTTCACTTCTGTGTGTGCACCCAGACCATATCTCTACGCCCACGGAGTGGAGCTTGTGAGAACCACGGCTGGGATTAGAGCCCAAGAGAACCAGGAAGGCCTCCTCAAAGCCAGGCAGGATGTCCTACACCTGTAACCCCAGCATTTGGGAGGCTGAGTCGGAAGAGATTCTGTCTTTCAGACAAATGAGGAGGAGAGGGAATGGAGCAGGAAAAGCCTATCTGAGGGTACCATCTCCCCCAAAACTTTAGTGAACGTGGGAAAGCTGGATCCTAGCCCATATCCACTCTTGCATGTGGCTTAACACGGGATAAAACCTCTGTCTTTCTGGGTCTCTGTTTCTACTGGGGGAATATAGTCCAGATAGTTGAGCATGTTGAGGGGGCGGGGTCAGCTCTAGAGAACAGCTAGGTAGCTTCTGTGTAAAGAATGCTCTTCCCACTCTGACCCAGATGTGGCCGGGGTCTGAGAAGCTCCCTTGCAACTCTCTCTCATTCATCTCTTCGGGGCTTTGATTAACAATAAATCCATGCTGGCCATGGAAGTACACTCTCATAGGTCCATCATTTAGGAGGCAGAGGCAGGAGGGATCTCTGTGAGTTTAAAGCCAACTCTGAGGTTCCAGGCCAGTGAGTCAGGACCAACACGTCTCTAAATAAATAAATATTTAAAAAGAAAGAGACGTTAAAACCCAGTATAGCATGTTCTCCCTAGTGTGTGTGTGCCAAGCCCTTGGTTCAAATGAGTGAGTCGGGGGAGACTTAATTCAGCTCCCCAGATATTCAGTGGTTTCTGTCTGTTTCACAGACAGTCTCCAGGTCACCAAAGTGACCCATCATAAACAGACAACTAGTCAATGGTCTGGCTGGTCCTAAGCCAGGGCTCTGAAATCATCGTGCTATTGTAGGCTGCTCCAGGGCCCACGTCCACAACAGGAACATCTTGTGAAGGTGTCAACCACGGTGAGTCATGGCATAGCCAATGGATGACAAAGCATGAGGCGCGCACACACACACACACACACACTCTACTGTCTTAGTGAGCAAAGTTAATCCCCAAGCTGGTGTTTCTTGGCGCCTTCAAGGTGTCTTTTAAATTCTGTGAACTGACTAAAAATATGCTTCAGCGTGTTGAGTATGAATGACTGTGACAGAAGGTTAGGAAAACAGATTTCATTCTGAAAGTTGCCGGCTGCCTCTTTCCAGCTGGCTGGATTCTGGCCTGAAAAGTCAGTCAGGGGGTGGGGGGGATTTCAATGGGTGGCCAGGGATAACAGGTGATTAGCAGACAAATACAGACCCAGAAGCTCCATGGGGGCCAGACCTGTGTGTCTGTGCCAGATAGAGGACCATGTCTGCTGTGGATGCTGCCCAGCTGTGTGTCTGTGAGGGAGGCTCTCTGATGACTTTGCATTCTACCCGGGCTGCATCTCCATCTCCAGCCCTGAATCCTCACCCTTCCACCACTCTACCCAACAAAGCAAGTTTTGGTCTTTGACTTACTGCCCTTTATCTCCACCCCTGGTTGAATTTTAGAGCAGGGAAAGAGGGCAGACTTTTGAGTCCTTCATATGTGGGGTAGGGCGAGAACCCTGGTTTGCCACCAAGCAAGCCATACATTCCTACTATAAAACTTTTAACTTAAAGGCAGTGTCCAGAGTTGGTCCTGTGTAAGATAAAGGGTTCTTATCCACAGGCGGGGTGATAGAAACAATAGGCACTTTCTGGCTGTGTGGTAGTGCATAGGATGAGAAATCCTGGCAGCATCCTAGGACCATACGTCAGGGGGCCTCTGGGTGTTGTTTGTTTTGGAGGGGGGGTTGAGGTAGAGCCCTGGCTGTCCTGGAACTCACTGTGTAAACCAGGCTGACTTCAGAACTCATAGAGGTCTGCCTGTTTCTGCCTCCCAAGTGCTGGGATTAAAGCTGTGAGCCACCATGTCCATCAGGCCTGTGTGTTATTTCTGTTTCTGTGGTGAGGGTACTGAGAGATTCTAGAGAAAGAAGCAGTCTGCCAAGGTATGGCTGCCTCCTCAGTCGGTACCTTCCGGCTTACTCGTCACACTGCCCGTATCGCTCATCAGCTCCAGACTGTAACCACCACACAAAAGCTAGCACATACCAGTGATCCCAGAACCTGAGAAACTGAGGCTGGAGGATTGCAAGTTCCAGGCCAGTGTGATCTACACAGTGTGACCTTTTTTTCAACAACAAATTCCAAAACAAGTGAGGCACAGAACATTAGGTGCCATTACTCCAAGGATAACTATATTTGGGAAATGGTGGAGTATACAGATATTTCCTTATTGAGAGACTTCTCGGATCCTTTTCTATGACTGTGCTGGCTAAATTTATGTCAACACAAGCTACAGACATTTTGGAAGAAAGAACCTCAACTAAGAAACTGCCCCTACTAAATTGGTATGTGGGCAAGTCTGTGGTGTGTTTTCTTGATTAATGATTGATGTAGGAAACCTCAGCCCACCATGGGTGGTCTCATCCCTGGATAGGTGGTCCTGGGTGCAATAAGAAAGCAGGCTGACCAAACCATAAAGGACATGGCAGTAAGAAGTGTTCCTCCATGGTCCCTGCTTCAGTTCCAGACTTCAGGTTCCTGCCTTGAATTCCTGCCCTGGCTTCCTTCAGTGATGGACTGGGGTGTGTAAGTGTAATATAAATCCTTTCTTCCCCAAGTTGTCTTTGGTCGTGATGTTTTGTCACAGTAATAGAAACTAGCCAGGACAATGAGTATGTACATTGCAAGTCTCCCAGAGGCAGGGAGAAGCTACCATATGCCCAAAAACAGTTTGTAAGACTATGGCTCTACAGACCATTCTGTGAGAACATACAATGAGCCCCATCAAGGCTGATGATCTGAAGATCTGTTCCTCTCATCTCTGGCATCCCCACATGATAGCATCTCCCTGCTTCAGGCAGTGATAGCTTCTCTTATCACTTGCACACCCTTTGTGCATCCTTCACTTACACATGGGATCTTGATGATCACGCCTCTGTTTGTGATACCCTGACCTCCATCTCTAGACAGCCCCCACCACCAAGTCCTAGCTTCACATACAGTCTCCCATATATCTTCCTAGCAATCCCCCCTACACACACACCTTAAGTTATCCCCAATGGTGCTAACCATCCTTCCCTCTAATCTGAGTGCCATCATGGCATCACTTATCTTCTGACCCACAATGACACCAAGGAGAAACCCTGTGGGGCATCTGTGACTGTCTTACTTGCACCCCTTATTTAGATATAGCCTGTCAAGTCTCACTTTCAGTGTTCCCCACTGCCCACTGATAGAGCTCAGATCCCTCAGACGCCTCAGTTGGACTGCCTGCCCCATATCTACCTCCAGGATTTTCTCCCACAGTGATTGTTAGTAATTTTAAAACCATACCTGTGGTCCCATCACTGCCTGGCACAAAATGTCTTCATAGATCTCTTCATGGCTTCACAACTCTTCCTAACCTATGTGTTTCTGGCCTCAGAGCCTCCTACATATCTCCAGCATATTATCTCATGGTAAAGGATCTGAGACACTGTTTCAAGGACATAGAGATCCTTGGATTGACAGTCGTATACTTTCTGGAGCCTGGGCAAATGCAAAAATCTGCTCCTTTATTTGTAGTCTGGGTGTGTCCTTCACCAGAAAAGCTGTTGGTTGCTAACTCAATAATGGTTCAGGACCACGGAGAGCGTCACATGAACAACCCACTCCCCTGACCCTTTAGTTGGGCTCTCACTGTATTACAAGGCCTTTCAGACTAGCTCCTGTAGCTGGTACTTCACAAATCCAGTACAGGCTTGACTTCCTCCTAGAAGCCTTTCCTGATCCACCTGGATGACCAATCATTTCCTCCTTGGAGCTATGCTGTAATGTATATTCCTCCATCACGCCAAACTCATTATTCTGATTATGTTTGTATGATTCCACCACCACTCCACCCCCAAAAGACATGAGCCTCAAGGTCTCATCCCCTATCTGATTCATCTTCACCATCCAGTGCAGAGGAGGTGCTTAGAGAATGTTTGTTGATTGAATGAGCAAATGACATTTAGCAGGTGCAGGAAATATGTGTTGATTTGTATTGTGTATCTGTCGCTCTGGGTGAGTCAGAAACCAGCCAGATTTCAATCCTGGTATCTCTAGAAAAGGCATTTTCTCCACAATGACTCCTCCCTCCATCCTCGAAACAGCTTTCCTTCGGGTTACCACCCCAGCTGGGAGAAGACATCCGCATTCTGCTCCCGCTCTTGTCACACTGAAAACTCACTGGAGTCTTTGTCCCCCAGCCTGGGGCCTGCCACATGATTTTACTCTGAACACTTCATCTCGGTCTCTCTCCTGCTCAGAACAGATGGTTCTGAATCCCCACTCATACAGACGTTCGTGTTCCATTATTTTAATTTTTTTCCAAGACAGTTTTTCTGTGTAGC